GCAAAGAGTTTAAGTAAGGATGTAAAGAGAATACTTACTGATATCATACTTTTCCCTGGATTGTCCGAAGACGATTTCATGGAACTTATGAAAGAGTCCATGGCAGGTAAGTTTGACAGACATGAACTATGGGAGAAGTACAAAGTCATACAAGACCCTCATACTTCTTTCAGAATTCATATCTACGCGAACAAAGTTCAAATTGTAAAAAGTCAAGCGTAAAAATGTAAGTGTTTAGTCTTAGTCTGTTGTGGTGCTGGGGCTGTCGGTTCTTCTGGCTTTGGAATGGACTCGGTTGGTGGTACGTCGGACATTCGTTTGTGTCCTGTCGGAAGGAAGGACTTTTCCTGTTGGAAGGAAAAACTTTTCCTGTCGGATGGAAAAAATTTTCCTGTCGGATGGAAAAAATTTTCCTGTCGGATGGAAAAAAGTTCTCAATTTTCGAAAATTTGAATGGTTTACGGACGGACAACTGGAAAAATTTTTCCTGTTGGAAGGAAGGACTTTTCCTGTTGTCGGGAAATTTTTTTCTTGTCGGATGGAAGGACTCGGAATGTCGGATGGAAGGACTCGGAATGTCGGAAGGAAGGACTCGGAATGTCGGAAGGATTTGACGAGGCAATCTACCTTATAGAGCTACCTGAGCCATCTTTGGTGTCAAGCTTGAAAAATAAAGAGTGCATTTACTCTACTTGTTTGAAGTTGTCAAAATACTCTGTTATTTTTTCCTTTAACAATGGCAAATCTTCTTTGAATGTAAGTATTGTACAACCTTTCATATCATAGTGTGTTTGAGGTAACGTATCTTGAACTATCTGTTTCACATCTTCATTTGGGGTCATTGAAATCGGTAAGTTTTCGCGATAGAACCAATTTCTGTCAGATTTGTAAATCTTAGCAAGGTCGTAAAAGCTTTTGTTGTTTCTTCTGACTAAATGCAACATAACCATATCTCTGTCTTCTTCATTTTCCATCTCTTCAGTGTAAATCATATACTTATAGTTCTTTTCCTTTCCTTTTGGTACCGAACGTGGTATTCTTTTCTGTATGTTTTTGTCTTTTGCTTCAAGCTTGTTCTCTAGCTCTTCACGTTCTTGTCTATGAATTTCGTCAAGAAGTTTACAAACATACCATGAATAGCGAGGTGAAGCCCATTGTGCACATTATTTACAAGAAGTCTATGTACATACCAACCTCTCAAACCATTTGGCAATTTTTCACGATTTTCATAGAGTTTTGGCGACTGGGGTTTTTCTCCCACTCGCTGTTCTTCACGATTTTCAGAAAAAAGTATGTCTCGCTGTGCTTCATTTAATAGTTCAATAGTGCTTTGGTTCCTAAACCAGTCTTTAGGAAGCTTAGTATCTGGTGCAAAACATGCTGTCAAAATACTTTGCATTTGGTACATGTCATCTTTGACCGAACGAATGAGACGTAACTGTTTGTTATACTGAACCCACTCGTATTCTTCACTTATGGCTTCATGAACGATAGCAGTTGTTGTGTTCTCTGTTGTTGACATATCTGTCTTTACATACAAAATAAAAAAATAAAAAAAATAAAATTAGCGTTATTTTCTATCTTGTATAAAAGACCAAAAATAAACGCTTTACATGTATTTTTCAGCAACTTCGTCAAATAATTTTATAGCTTTACCTATCTCATCTACTTCAAACGTTTCTTTACCTTTCGTGGGAGCACCATACATTTTCTCAAACTTTTCGAGTAGTTCTGTTTCAGCAGCTCTCATATCGTTAACAAACACAACCTTAACTCTATTGACTGTACTGTCATATCTTTGAGTTATATTATATGTTCTTCCTATCTTATATCTCTTTGTATTGAAGTCCTTCGGTTTCTGAACGATGTAAAGTAAGCCTTCACTGCAACGTTCCGTATCGAATGAACCATATGTTATGAAGTTATATCCAACAACTGGGTCTAACCATAACAAAACTATTGGTATAAGACTTTTGTCTATAAGATATGCTGTAGTTCCATAGAATCTTACCGATATCATAAGCTCAGGATTTCTTGTCAAAATTTTCTGAGTAGAAGCATTTTTAACCCAGTCGTGGGATGTTTTCTTTCCTTCAGATAGTGTTAAAATGTCTGACAAAGAATATTTCTTGTATTTCTTTGAGTATCTTACGTTTAAATCACCAATTCTAACCACCTTGGTCTCATTGTCTATCTTTTTAACTGTTTCAAACTCAATGTTTAACATTTCTGTTCTTACATACAAAATAAAAAAAAAATAAAAAAAACTAGCTTTTATTTTCTATCTGTATCTTAAGGAAATTCATGAAATTTGGTCATTTTTTCATGATTTTCATAGAGTTTTGGCGACTACTTTTCTTACGTACTCGCAATTTTTCACTGTTTTCGTACGGAATCTCTTCTCTCGGTTTTCCTCGGGAAGCAATCTTATGCCATTTTACTCAGATTTTTGTGCTGAATTCAGCAAAAATATTTTATGTTAGAATGTTAGATCTAACATGTTTTCTAACACGTTTTCTAACATGGTCTAAAACACACAAAACTCATGAAATTTCATACGGAATTCAGCAAAAATATATTTTAGGTGAAGAGGTGAGATTTCACCTCTTTTTTCACCTCTTTTTTCACCTGTTATTTTATAAGCGTTTTACATGAATTGTATGATGTATATTTGAAATCCTAAACAATTTCGTAGCTTCTATTTCTTCTTTTAGTACATCGAATGTTTTAACGATACCGAAAGTTTCTTTATACTTCTTCTTGACGTCAGATAGAAGGAAATCGTCAGCTGTTGGATAGTTTTTGTTTAGAAATGTCAACATGTTCATTTTATCTTCTGCTGGTTTTTCTGCTTCTTTCTTTAAATCTGCATAGTCGTTTCGCATACGTTCTATCTCTTTGACGGAGTAGTTATATTTCCTCATTGCTGCTTTACATTTAGAACATTGCGGATTCATTTTTGCGTTATATTCTGAAACCTTACCTGCTAAAACAACCAAGGCGTCAATGGTTTTCTTCATCTCAAAAGCTGCTGGTTTTATCTGTTCATTCCATATCTTACCTCTTCTATCTTTATCTCTTATCTGCCATACACATTTTGCAACTAACGAAACAAAGTTGTCGTAGGTCTTAAATTCTTCGGATTTATATATGTCAGAGATGTTCTTATATACCATATCGCAAATCTTTGTCCATGACTTTGTGGTTGCAATGAAATCCAAGAAACTCATAGTTTACCTTTCGTATGAACTTCTTAATTTCAACTGAGTCAGTTGCTTTGACTTCAATTTCTTCAAATTCTGGAATAGTGAGTTTTTGTTGTTGTATTTCAGGAAGTTTAGGTAGATGGTCAATAATATCCTGCATTTCATAAAGATACTGTTCATTTGTTTCATCTTTCGCACTACAGTCTAAATTATTTGTTAAAAGTTCTTGCTTTATCTTCTGGATTTTTGTTTCAAAAGTATATGAAGAAGGAATGAAGCTTTTCATCTCTACTAACATTGAAGTTGGGTTCATAACTAACGAGTTTGGTGCTGTTGTTGCTAACATGTTCTTACAATAAAAATAAAAAAAAATATTTTATAAAAAACTAAAATATATTTTTTATCTTAAGGAAATTCATGAAAATCCAACGGGTGAGAAAACAGGTGAGAAAACGGGTGACATCTCACCTCTTCACCTAAAATATATTTTTGTCTGATTTACGCTCATTACGAAGAAGTTTCGACAAAACATTTACGAAGAAGTCTTGACAAATTCAAGAGGGTGAAAAAACAGGTGAAAAAAGAGGTGAAATCTCACCTCTTCACCTAAACATTATTTTTGGTGTAAATTTCATGATTTTCATGAGTTTTCTACGATGTTAGAAAAGAGGTTAGAAAACATGTTAGATCTAACATTCTAACATAAATTATATTTTTGGTGTAAAATTCATGAAAATTCAACGGGTGAATTTTATATAAAAAGCAACCCGCCGTTTTCCGCGGGTTGGTATATTCTTCACAAAATGCTTGTTTTGAGGTCGAGCCACTTTTGGCTCCACCTCTTTTTTTCAACCAAAACTCATTTTTCAATACTTTTTCAGCACTTCTCCGTAGTTATATATGAAAGACAATTCGAGATAAAAGTCGTAGTACAATGGAACAATATGTTGCACACCATTTGTTGTGAACCAAACTTGAAAGTCAGAGAAACTGTTACTCGGTGGTTCATAGAATTTAGAAGCAAAGTCATAAAAGTCCTTACCAATACAAAGAAAACTATTGTTGCTTGAACTGAAACTTGCATGACACATGACATTTTGAGGGTCAAACACGTTTCTATAAACTGTCAAATCTGTTGGTGGGCGTATAAACCAGAACGGACCGTCAGGTGGTAATGGTTCGTTCTGGTTTAGTAACCGAAGAAATTGTGCCCAAGAACGTTTGTCTACTTGCCAAAATAAAACTGTGTATCTCTTGGAGGGTTATTTTCAATCCTTTGAAATGAAACGGTGGAGTTCATCTTGTCATATTCTAGTTTCAGATAGTATGTTCCATTTAGTAAAGAATCGTATTTTTCTTGAAATTCCCAGTAGTATTTGTTTATTTGAGTTTGAAAGTCATTTAGAGTCTTCTCAAGACTTTCGTCTGAACGAACTGTAAAGATTCTCATTTCATCAAATTTGTCTATTAGACCATCATGACCTCTATACCGCCCATGAAAATATACTGCGAACATAAATGCGTTAGTTCTTTTTGAAAACAAAACTCTTCTAAATCCTATTGCCTTTGCATCTGAAGGACTTTGAAGCCAACGAATTGGAAAGTCAAACCTGTAAGCACCGGATGAAATTTCTTCATCTGAAATAGTCCTACCAGCGTTTGTAAAGATATAGTCTAACGGTTTTGTATCTGCTACTTTTGTTCTTTGTTTTTCAACCTGAAACATTTAATATATGTAAAAATATACTGTTTTAAAAAACGTTTTAAAATGGTATGCCATTTCATATTTCTCATCTAACAAACATGTTGTCTGACTGCTTGAGGGTTAGGTTGATACCATTCGAACTTCACGCTTACAATTCCTTCAATTGCATTCAAAATATCTGAGTCGGAGTCAACCATTTGTTCTCTCTTTGTAGTCTTGAAAGCGTCAAGAAGTTGTGCGGCTGTTGTGACATTGCCATGTGCATAGTAAATATGACCATCTAAATCTGTTACGGTTAGTCTGAGATTGTATCCTTTCTTATTTCCGTCTTGAATGGCAGCAAGTACACCCATGAAGCCTTCTTTGTTCTTTCCTTCGTCAAAGTTTACTGTAAAGGTTCGACCAGATGTAATTTGACTTCTAACTTCACGATACTTTTCATATGCATATCTTGTTCTTTCCATGGGAGCATGACCATCCTCTGCACTACCTTTTTTCCTTCTCAAAGGATGCAATTGTTCGTCATGTTTCCAGTAGAATCTGGCAAAGCCGTCGTGTCCTTCAACTTGAGGCTCACTAACATCGAAAGGCATGTCCATAAGACGTTCTTCTTCTAACCTCTCTAGTCTGTTTGGATAATTTGCGCGTGCTGTTTCCAAGTCCATTTCGTAGCGAAGACCAGACAATTTGTCATAGACTTTTATGGGTCTTCCCTTCCTATATTTAAACTTCTTTGAAACTCTCCAACCATATCTTTCTAACTCTGCTTTTATTCTAGCAGATTTTCTATCCATTCTATATGGGGGCATTTTTATAAAAATAAAAAAATATTTTTTTCTTTACTTTACATAACCACCTGCTGCCATAAGTCTTTGACGCCAACCCATACCAGCTAATGAAGGTTGACTTGGTTTAGTTTGGAAACTAAACTTTGGTTTTGGTTTATCTTCAGTTTTTGGTTTCTCTTCTTCTATCGGTTTTTCGTCACTTTTCGGTTCCTCGGGCTTTACCTCACCTGCAGGAACAGTTGTGTCGTCAACATCTTCATAAATATCATATGCCATTTGTTTTTGTTTTCCTTTCAACTTTTTGTGTTTGTTGTAAAGTTTAGAATATTTCGACTCTAAGTCAATGAGATGTTCTATAATGAACTGTTGGTCAGTGAAGTAAACTTTTCCATCTGTTGTCTCGAAAGCTCCTTCAGACTTCAATATTTTATTTGTGAGAGTCTGTTTCTTTTTTGAGATACTAGCGTTCCATTTCTATGAAAAGTGACTTTATAGTTAGGGTTTGTTTTCCAGACCTGGCACTTTCTATTATTGAATTTTTCTCTTCATCTGTAAGTTCTTTGACAGGTTTTGACAATGGTTCTGAACTTTTTGTTTGTGGTGTCAAATCTACCGTTTCAACTTCTTCGGTCATTTCATCTCAGTAAAAAATTTTAGTTTGGTTGTTTTCAACTGGTTGTTTAGGTTTTTTAAGTCGGTCTAAAACTTCCTGAGGTATAGGAAGAACTTGACAAACACGTTGTGTAACTGCTGGAAGTCGACAAATCCATCTTGAACCATTTGTCTCAATGCTGTATTGTTCATTTCATCTCAGTAAAAAATTTTACATTCCCCACGTTTGAGGTGGTTGCGGTTGGTTGTTGTTTACCCACTGTTGTGCATGGTTATATCCTCTGTTAAAGAATCTTTCACCTTGGTCATGTAGTGCCCTGCTTGGTTATAGTAGTCATTTGCTTTGTTATAGTAGTTTCCTGCTTGTTTTCCTACATTATCCATCATCCTTGAACTTTTCCTCTTGTTTCAGGATTTGGAATAAGATTTGCTGCATCTCGTGCTACCTCCCAACCTTTCTGTACAGTTTGTATAATAGGTTGTGCTTTCTCTTTAAGTATACCTAATGTACTCAAAATCTTCCTTCCAATTCAAATGCACCTCTAGCTATTGTTCCCACTGCGGGCAAAAATCTGGATGCAACTCCTGCTAATGCGCCAATAAAAACCCATTTCTTATAGGGTAAAAAATGACGAATCCAAACAAGGACCCCTATGTTTCTAAGGCAACAAAGAAAGCACTCATGATAAAAATCTTTAGTTCAACACAAATGCTTGGTTTATGGATATCTTGGAAAACATTCCGAGGTATAGAGAAGATGGACCACCCATACTGGCTAATATTTGTCGGTCAAAACACAAGATACTGTGAAGCCATACCATTACAGTCCAAAAATATTTTAGATATCTTAGCAGCTTTGACAATATTCGTTGACAAATACCATCCAACTAAACTGACATCTGACTGTGAAAGTTCTTTCAAATCAGATGATATTAAAAACTATCTGCGTTCAAAAAATGTAAACCAATATTTCATTGTCGACCAAAACCATTCTGCTCTTGGTGTCATTGACAGTTGTATAAAAATCTTAAGAGACTTAAACCAACCACAAGGTGGTGAGGTAGGTGAGATGTCATATGACGACAAGTACAGACACTTCTCCATGGCAAAGATGAGACAAGTTTTAAATATTTACAATAGCCGTAAACAAAAAGGTTTGGGAAACCATTCCCCCGAAGAAATGAAAAACAACCCTGACTTAGAGAAAGACTATATATTTAACAATTTAGTCAAAAGAGACAAACAAGAAAGAATGCCAGGCTTCAAACTTAAGAAAGGCGACAAAGTAAAAATAGAAATACCTAAACGCGACCCATATGAAAATACTATTGACTATGACAACAATGGGAACCCGACAGGTACTCACCTTCGTGTTCGTAAAAATAGAAGAAAGTATACAAGAGAATATTATGAAGTTTTAGGCAAACATGGCAAAATGTACAGACTGCAAGCAGAAGATAAAACTACTATTGTCAGACCTCGTTTCAAACTTGTCAAAGTTCAAGGTGGTATACTTTCAAAGACAGTTCCTAACAAATATAAGACAACTCCTGACGAATATGCTAAAGAAGTTGAAAATGACGACTAAGCATTTCTATACCATGCGTAAACTGTCATGTAAGGTGGCATGTAGTCTTTACTCTGTCCCGTTGTTTCCGAATATCCTGTAATGCGATGTGTATGGCTTCCTCCTCCTGAGTGTCATCCCAGTAACAATTTATAGCAAACTTAACGTCGTCTTTAACATCATATCCTTTACCTTTTGTCATTCCTGTCCAATCCAATATCTATGCTTATGCCAACCTGCTTCAGCTGTAGTTAAATTTATGTAGTGACTGTGTGCAGGTAGGTTTTCACCTGAAATCGTTTTACTTCCACCTGTTTCCTTTGAAGAGTTTGCACAATACAAAAACCTGTCGACTATTTGAGTCCAAGTTCCAAAACCAAGTACTACTTCTGGTCTGGTAGAGTTCATTGACGTATAAATAGAACCTATAGGATATACTGTTTGAAGTATTTCTGTCTTTAATGTTTGAAGCTCTGTTTTGTCTGCTTTTTTATATAACTTTTCTTCAAGTTCATTTACGTCAGAGATGCTATGTCTATGATATTTTTGTGGGTATGTTCCTTCTGTCCATGCGAAAATACGTTCTTTTGTTGCATCTACATATCCTTTTATCCATGTCGAGTCTGCTTTTGTATTCCTTAACTCTGTAACACCTTTCTCAAGCTCTTTCAACTGTTGTCCATCTTCCATTAAACCTCTGGTATGACTTGAAACCGTTTGTGTCAACATATCTACAGTTTCTTTGTCGGCTTTAAGGTCTAAACATCCTGAAACCCACCCTGTATTGGCTTTACCTTCTAAAATCTTCGATGTCCGTTCATGGTACCATTCAACCCTTTTATAATTTCATTGTCTTTTTCATCCACATATTCCTTATCTGCCTTCTTCACTAACCCACTAGCCAGATATGCTAACTCATCGTCAACATACTCTTTGTCAGCTTTGTTGTCAACATCTGCTTTCGTTGCATATGTTGCATCTGCTCTGTCATGTTCTTCTTGAACTTTTTCAATGACATATTCTTTGTCAGCTTTGTTGCCAACATCTGCTTTCAAAAGAAGTTCATCTATAGGTTTCTCGTTTAAAGTTCCTTTTGTTGGATTTATACAAACAGTATGGTTCTTACTGTCTTGAAACAGAAACTCATCTGTCATTGGGTTTATCGTCAGTTTTAAGTTTCCTTCTTTCAATGACTCAGATATCTTAGAATAGTTTGAAAAGTTTGTTGTGTTCTTATTTAGAGCTTGCAAAATGAGTTGTCGGTTGTGTTGTATTTCTCTCATAGACGCTGTTTCTTTCGACATTTTTATTCTAGATAAAATATGCTTTCAATAGAAAAAGAAAATTCTAGAGTTGCTACAACTAAACCATTAGATGAACTTTTTACCAATGTCGGTCAAAAGTTTGAGACAGAGACCGTAAAGCATGAAGGCTATCGTTTTGACTACCACTAAGATGGTTAAGAGACCCATCCGTCACAAAAGCTATTGGCTTTCGTAGAATGAAGTTCATTTCAGAAGCCATACATGGTTTCCCATTTACGGTCGCTTTTGAAATTCGATACTATAACAAAGAAAAACGTACGTATGAGAAATTTGAACAGGGAAAACTTTTACAAGTGAATTTGCTTGTAAACTTAGAAACAACTCTTCAAGCTTTTCAGAAAAAATAAACGATATCTATCTCGAATATGCAAAACAGTACAACATTGACGAAGGAGAGTACCATCTCGATATTATATATGACAGGAAAAATGCAACTGTTAAAATCAATAGAATAGAAGACCTTGGAGAAGACGTTTATATTTCTACAAAATATAACAACTTGGCATGGTATAGATTTTTGAGGATGTTAAATCAGCCTGCAGAATATCCAGTACACCCAGACTTTTATGAAGTCGAAAACCCTAATGGAACATATGAAAATGTTTTCGACCAAGATGCTATTATTGTTCATGCTTCATTTTCTGGCGCCCAAAACTCTTTCTTATGCTTGGCAAATGACTTTTACGAAAAACCTACAAAGTTATACGAACCACCAAGTGGAAGTATTTCAGACTTTCAAGTATGGTTTACTACAGATGGAAGAAAGAGAATAATTCCATTATACCACGCGTTTTACTTAGAACTTAGTTTCATATACAACTACTATCGAACGGTAAAAATATGATTTTTTAATACGGTTGAGGTGTTGGATTTGGTTGCCAACTAGACTGTGGTGCAGGTTCAGGCTGTTGTATAACAGGAGCTTGCTCTTCTGGTTCAGGGTCTTTAGGTATAATACCAACGAACTGACCTACCCTTTTACCAATATTTTTGACACCGTTCCAAATTCCTCTTCCGACGGTTTTTATTCCATTCCATATACCTCTTCCAACATTTCGAAAGAAGTTTCCAATACTACTGAAGAAACCCATTTTACTATATGTAAAAATCTAATGTCCACCTAGTCTCTTACGTTTCCTTCTGAGTTCCATAGCATTCTTTAACTGGAGCTCATACATTCTATTTCTCCTCTGGTAGAAAACATATTCTGGGTCAACTCCTGTGTTCGCGTCATCTGCATAAAGTTGTTTATATCCCACTTCAGGGTTTGTATAAAACTCTTTCCATCTCATATTTGCATACCATGG